AAGTAGACAGGTGTATCCATACAGTGTATAAAAGTTAAGAATTAATTAAACAGAAACAATCAACGAACTTATACATCCGGACTAAACATGCATGAAATAGTTGCCACTGGACGTTAGGCAATTATCAATCAATCATAGATGACATTATGTTTTAAAGCTCAAAGATATAACATATATATATATATATATTGTTTGTGCTGTATTTAGACCCCTCTACCAAGAAATTTGTTTTGCATTCACACGTATAAAAATTGCGGTTTTTATCCAACGCAATCATAGGTTTGAACGTTGATTTCAATTTAGACTTGTCTAAATTGAAAACAACGTTCAATATATATATATATATATATATATAAACAAGTCTAAATTGAAAACAACGTTCAAACCTATAATTGCGTTGGATAAAATCCGCAATTTTTATACGTGTGCATGCAAAACTAATTTCTTGGTAGAGGGGTCTAAATACAGCACAAACAACATTTTCCAAAAGACCAAATGAGTGAAAAAGTATATTTTAACAAAACGCATTTGACTAGCAGGTCGAACAACTGATGTTCTTAACCCCTGCTGACTGCCATTGGCGATTGCCAAATATACAGATCACAAGATGTAACAAAATAGATCTTATTATTAATTTATTACCAAACAGAAAAACAATAAACTTGAGGATAAGATGGTATACCGCAAACATGAGGTGCAAAAATTTGTACACCATATCCGGATTTCGACAATTAATGTCTCTTCAGTGATGTTAGGAATCGAAACGGTATTTGGAAGGCCATATAATTTACCTCAATTAAGGATAGACTCTTGTTTGTAGATACATTGTATCTTACTTTAAAAAAATGTCAATAAAGAGTTGAAATAGTCAGTACGAACTTCGGACGAATCAAACTTGTTTGGTAATGTGTTAAAATCAGAATAAAATGTGCAAAAATGTATAGCTTATAGATATAGTGAGATGATATCATGTTGACCTGAAATGACAAAATGTGTTCTATATGCCAAAATGGACATATCGGAGACGATTATCACTATATTCTTGTATGTCCGGTTTTAGAAAATGAAAGGAAAAGATTGAGTGATTCCAAACGAACTAATAAGCAGACGTAATGTTTACAAATACAAGACACTGTTGAACTCTAAAAAACCCAAAATCAAAATACTCAAACAGCTTTACAATTTCATAAGATGTACCAACAGTAAAATTACTCCTTCTTCTCAATCATAATTTAAACAAATTTTTTGGCTTTAGATTTGAAATAATTGGCTGAATAGAATAAGGTACTGATGATGTTAAAACACCTTTATTGAACATTTCTAATTGTGTGTAGATTCTTGCACAATTCAATTAAATGCCCTGTTGGATTTTAGTTGTAAACAGAAAAGTGTATACAGCTACTATACGAATTTGTATTTTAAGGCTTGTCTATTTTACTTTTTACTTGGGAGTGTACACCAGTTTTTCTTTGTGTTTGATATACATACAAAGTCCTAATCCTATTCAATTCTTAGTTTCTACAAACTGAATGTCTAAAGCAAATTGCACAGACTAATCGCAATATAAATTTAAGCACTCAGTTTGCTAAAATAATCTGTCATATCTTCATATTTTGTTTCCTTGATGGCTTCAATTATTCTTATAATTATTATTGAAGTTGTCGTCTTTACTCATGGTAGATTCTTTATAAAGAGAAATAGAAAGTTCAATTTCAATGTGAAGTGTAACTCTGTGGCATGCAACTTATAAGAAGGGTGGATTTTATATTTTGAGACTGTCTCATTTTCGCAAGAGTAGATTTTTTAAAGAATATAGCAAAAAACTAAAATTTAGCTCAAATTGTTATAATTTTATCAATATTCAAAAACTTACCAAATTTTTCTTTTTTCATCTATATTTCTTCTTTCTGTTTTTGAAGATGGTTTAATTTTGTATTTTGTGTTTGCGAGTAACACACCAGCTCCATTGGGACCTCTTATATACTGACAATTATTTTGGTCTTTTAAGATATCTCAAATTTAAGGATTTCCTGAAGTTACTTTAATCAATCAAAATATTCTAAAGGAAAAAATTAGTTCTGAAGAAGTTCTTTGAATACCTGAATATGCTCTAAAAAAGCAATTAGTATAAAAAAAGATATTTGTACCCTATGTAGATATATAAAATTGTATAGATACCAGGATTAAAATATTGTATGCCTGACGTGCATTTCGTTTACAGAATACTCACCAGTGACGCTCGAATAAAAAATATTAAAAAGGCCAAATAAAGTACGAAGTCGAAGAGCATTGAAGACCCAACATTTCAAAACAAAGGTTTTGCCAAATACATCTACGGTAATCTATCTGTTCCTTGGGAAGAAAATCTTTAGTATTTCGAACATTTCAAAGTTTATAATAGGACAGTCACTCAAAAAAAATAGAAAAAGAAAAGAGAAACAGCTAGAGGTCAGAATACCGTAATTTATGATGACCATGATTCAATGTCCAGCTCTTGCTGCCGTGTCCTGAATTAAGATAAGAAAGGCAGACCGCGAGTGAAATTAATATTTATGTATGCACGTGGTTTTCTTGTGCAGCGCAAGCAATAGTAATTGGAAAGCATACGCACTGATACCGTCTGGATTATAATACACATTTGCATCATCGCGTGTAATAATTATAGGCTCAAATCTAATGCTAGTTGAATTCGGATGTCAAACTACCTACCTCAAGTGGTTTGACTCCGGATTCATTGGCATTTAATCCGAAATTTTTGTAAACGCAAAAAGATGCCATATAATGAAAATAAACCAAGACGGGTGTATGATAGCTGGTCAACAAAATGAATACACAAATGTTCAAAGTCGCACCATATTGAAAAGATTAAGATGCTATAAGATCAATCTATTAAAAACAAAACAAACAGAATTGAAATTTAATCAACATACATTCCTGTTAATGAATCATTTCCGAAATTTTGTAAATACTAGAAGATGCCCACGAAATCGTGGTACAATTGGGCAAGTGTTGAAACAGAGAGTTTTTAAATATAGCGGGCAGTTAAACTGGTTCCCGATCGCATTACAGATTTATCATACAGAATATGCAAATGATGGAATTAATTATATTTGAAATAGAAAAAAGTTCTTTTGATAAATAACGTGCCTTTGGTGGTTCTTTCGATTATGTGAACAGTTATGACTTTTCGACTCCCAACATTACACTTAACCCAATTTTATCAATACGACTGTTCTTATTAAAGATTGATCCTTACAAAAGCTGATTGCAAATATATTTCCTGCGAGTCAATCGAAGCCTTCGTTTGTAACGAAAACGTTTAGTATGCTAGATATACTAAATGTGCTTGTGAAGAGACGATCAAAGCTGAGAACTTTCACCTTTGACACATATATGTACGTTTCGGTCATAAAGTTTATCGCTAGTTGTATGTATTCCGATGTGCACCAGTTTCGAAGCTTAAGTAGCAATTTTGTTTCTGTATTGTTATGAATCACAATTTAAGATCAACCAAGGAAATTCGTTTAAATTCATGCTCATTGAAAAAAAAAATATAATCAGCGTTATATAGTACTGTGATATATTTGCTTTAAATGATCATAAAGACTCTAATAAAACTATGAAAATTTACTGAAGGGAACTGACCTTCAACAAATCAAGTAAAAACAGCAATAATAGTCCTTTTCTTAATTTGGAAATTTCCGTTTCAAACCTTAAACTCTACACACTAAGTTAGTTCCCGATCGTCATATTTTCTTTTTCGAACATCACGATTGGTTTTCCCATTCTTATGGTATGCATATTTCCCAACTAATTCGCTATACCCATGTCAGTAGTAACGTTTTAGATGTTAACACACACTATCTATGCCTTTTATGACTTATTTTACAGTATGGGTTATGCTCACTTTTAAAGGATATAGTTGCTTTCACCTACGTCGTTTGGTCTTCCGTGGATACTTGTCTCAATAGCAATCGTACCATATCTTATTATTTTCATATACGTAGTACATTATTTAGTTAGAGATTTCGTTACGGTAAGTTAATAGTTTACTAAATTAATTTCACAGATAAAACACATTTTGATTTGGAAGTTTGCTTGTACCTGTACAATCTTTTCCTGATTTTTTCCGGGGTTCGTGTTGCTTAGTCTTAAGTTTTGAATACTGTTGGGTTTTTTCCGTGCTTGTCCATGGCATTGTCAGTTCGTGTTTTCAAATTATAAGTTTGACTATCCCTCTATTACCTACCGCCTCCTCTTTCTGTCTGTTTTTAGGATATAACATCCAAATTATAACGGTTTTGTATTTCATAAATATAAACATAACTACATATATATTTCGGATCAAGTATGAAATACCGTATTGTAGTCCATATATTTCTATATACAGTTATGAAAACATTTATGGTTTACTATCATGTAAATACTAATATTGTAGTGTTGCACAATGGCGGGTTTGTCACAAAATCTTTGAAAAGTCTTTTATCAAAGTCGTTGGATGTTTACTGTAAGATACCTTTAATTACGTATTTGATACTGGCTGTCAACTAGCTTTCAGTGACTGCTAGTACCCTTAGATCAGTACTTTGTGTCTTTTGTCTTTTTAATGTTTTCTGCTTTTGATGGATCTGATGAGTCTTTCCTACAGATTTTTTCATTTTGCTCGTATGTTTTGTTAATACACTACTGTTGCATGTTAGGCGAGGGTTGAACGCTCACAAACATTTTTCACCACGTCATATTTTATATATGCATTTCCATAGTCAAGGACCTGTCATTCAGTGGTTTTAGTTTGCTGTAGCTATTTGTGTATTCTGTTTACCTAAATCATGCTGTTATGTTTTGTCAATTACATTGTTTTACATTTTGTCGTCGGAAAGTCCTACCACATCGACTTTTAGTTGCTTACATTCATGTACGATAGTTGGTAGATAGTACGCTCATCCTATTTCTTTTTGTTTAAACTTCTAGTAATAGCTGATTTGTTTTTTATTTTTCAGGGTCGACAGTTTTCACAAATTCACAATTTGATCATCCATTGGAATTATCTGTTCTTGTATATGCAGTTGTACTCACATGCTTTGTTATTTTACCCAGTATATATTTTTTGATAAAAGGTGAGTGTATTGATTTTTTTAATTATTATATTGAACAAATAGTTTCTTCCCAAAAACATGGTTGTCACCTTCGTTTCTTCAAATACAAGCAATTTCAACTCTGCACACAATTTACTGCAATTATATTCAGTATTAAATTTATTTTTAGCTACGGTAAAAATTAAAAACTTTATCAAACAATCCAATAGCAGATGTAATGTTATGGTCATTTAGGTAATACAACTATTAAAATTGTTCTATTATTTTTTATCGTTATAACTTCATCTGCTGGGTACTTCGGTACTGGAATAAAAATACGGTAAGTATTATTTATTGAAATTTGATTTTATTAAATTTTGGAAATCATTTGTTAAATTACGGAATATATCTCCCTCGTGCATTTCCTTGATTCCTTGCCCGAATGTGGCCATACCTATTTGTCCCGTTTAAGTTGTATCTGCCCTTCGTCGCATGAATTGAATTTTGGATTTCAAATATTAATGCCTCGAGCATCACTGAAGAGACATGAATTGTCGAAATGCGCATCTAGTGCAGTAAAATCGGTACCGTTATCGTTATTAAAAGCCGACAGTGATAGTTCTAGTTTCAAAACAAAAATATTGGCCGTATATAGAAAAAGAGATGACTTGTTTCTTTTATAATCACAACTGAAAATATATAAGTATACATCAGGCAATGGTAGTTTACTGCTGTTCAAATCTCGTAAATCTATCATAACCTTTAGAGCAACTGAGGTAATCGCATGCAAACTGAATGAGGTGAGACGGTGCATCTATCATCAACCATACGAATCGTTCAAGTTGTCCCGATATTGTATATGTATATGACACATTCAGTTGATTAACAAGTCAGACGACTTTCCTAGCATCATCAAATCTGCGATTGCAAATTATGTGTCTCATGAGCACCAGTGCATTTAAGTTGAATATTGTGGTTTCTGAATATAATAAAACAATTAATTGTTTCATATTATTTTCTATTTTATTAATATTCATAAACGTCGTACCTTGTAATGTATATACAAAAAAATGAAAAAAAAAATGAAATGTGCCAATGAAACAACTACTGGTCAGCTCAATGATGCGCTCGTTCACGTAACACTAAAAAAATTTGCTGACAAGGTACGCTTTTTTGTAAATACATGTTGAGGTTTGTTTAATGTCTCAGACACATATCCCATATCTATTTTTTTTAATTCTGAATTCTGCTGACTGAGAACTTTTTTATTTCTATTTAAAAACCTTCCGAAAAGAGTAATGTTCTGAGACATCTCAATGTCAACATTGAATACAATTGTTCAATCATACTGTGTTTAGGAGGGCTTAAGGACCCAACAACTTCCTTGTCAAGTAACAGGCAGATCTCCTCATTTGTTAAAGGCTGAGCCCTTTTAGGTTTGTTTCCCCTGCCTTTTTGTTCTAACAGCTTTTGCTTGGACTTCATTGTTTGCCTTGCTAGGTTGAAACTCTCATCATTCTCATCTTCCATGATTGAATGACCATATTTGTGACGCATGAGTTTTTCTTTCAACACCACGTATGAAGCCAAGAATGGTTGATGGTTCATAGTCATTGCCTTGTTGCGTACAGTCAACGCAAAATTAGAAAGAGGAGGATCAAGCTCAGCAACTGGTACTGTTTGTTTTTCAATCTGTGAAACCTGGTCGTCACTAATGCAAGATCACAAATGGTTTTATATTCTATTGAATGTCAAGAATGTATTGAACGGTTTCATCTCAATGTTAAAATTATTGGTCAAAATGTTTTTCTACATTACGTTCAATCTCTTCAAAAATGTTATGAACATATAGATAGTGGTTGATTGAAATGTATCGAAAATCATTTAAAGTTAGTGAATATATCACTCGTACAAAGTTCTGAATCCTTTTACGGATTGAGCTTTACTTTAGGTCCTTTTTGGTTTGTTGTACATTTGTATAAGTTTTGGGCCTTCAAATATTTTGGCCATGTTCATCGCTAAAGAGAGATTTGTTGTCGAAATGCGCATAACATTGTTATGGTTAATATTATTTCATGTGTTCTGTATGAAACAGATAGAACTGCTGCTATACTGTATTTGCAGTGTCAGTGGTGTTTGTGTCAAGGGACTATTCAGGACAGATTTCAGTACTTCCCTGATCAGCCAACATATCTATTTGAATAAGTACAGTAGCTAGGTCGTCATCAATAGTTGCATTAACATATTGGTCATTTTCCAACAAATTTAACTGAGATAACTGGAGATTAAATTTTGCGACTTTTTGCGTTATTTTCCTGGTTATTTTATAAGCAGACGAAGTTCGGTCTGAGGGCTTAGGACAGTGGAGTTTTTTGCTTATCAAAAATTAGTTTAAAATTTCTAAAATTCTAAAAACAAATAAATAAATGTTTCAATAAATCAAAACTACCAAATCAGTTATTATTTCTTATTAATAACCGCACACAGTGTTTATCTGTATACAATTGTTGACACAATAGTTTTGAAATAGTTCCGGCAAGCAGACGTGGTTTACAGGTCAGTTGAGGTCATTGACGTATAACGCTTACGTTTATACGAATAGCTTTATATATATAGTAAAATAGCTGATAATGAACACAACGATGTTAATAAAGTCTGTATAATGTTATATATCAGACTTGAAAAGTTCAACTCAGATATTTAGATGTAATAAGAGGGACAAAATGTATGCCACAACTTAAAACTAGAAAAATGGCACAGTGCAGAACTGAAATCGTTACGTTTGTCATAGATCTTAGTCAGTTAGAAGTCGTTCATCTGTGTCATCTTTAAGAGCAGCATCACGATATAAAACATACCTTCTCATTGTAGCGGTATCTTTAATGTCCAATTCACAACGATAAATTTGGTACAATGACGCAATGAAATGTGGTTTATTAATCAAATGCTGAAAATCATCATCAACGCAGGACGGCTAATTAAAGATGTTTTTTTAGAATGTTTTGTACGAGTTAAGTATGAATGCAGGAACAGGTCACAAATTAAGGATGCACCATAATTACCTATGTACTACTTACTATTTGACATTAAACTCGACAAATGAGTAATCAATCAATAAGTCCAGAATTTTGATGATTTTGTCTTCTGTGTATTTGTTGTTGGAATTAGTACAGAGTCCTAACACAGATTTTTCATGACCTACATGTAGTGAACGTTTGGGCCCCAAGGGAATCCCAATCTCAGAAGTCAGCATTTTTTGTATTGGTTTTTCTACCATTAGGAATAGTTATTTGGCACAACTTTTCGGAACTTTCGATTGTAATGCTCTTTAGTCGTGTTAACTTACAATATGCTTTTGATTTTGAATTGATTTGAGTCGAGGGCCACTTAATTATAAATTGGCCTCTTTACTTTTCTATATGTTTATTGTTGTACGCAAGACGTGCGTTTCGTCTACAGAGTACGTTCGAATTACAAAAGTTAAAAAGGCTAAATAAGTACAAAGTTTGAGAGCATTAAAGATCTAAAATTCCGAAAGTTTTTTTCCAAATACAGCTAAGGTAACATATTTCTTGGGTAGACAATCCTTAGTATTCAGACAAATTTAAAGTTTTATAAATAGTTAATATATTATTACGGATATATCGATGATGCTATCCAATACTGTAGAAAGAATAGTTCTTAGGATTTTGAAAGAAGTTTTGTATATAATGACAAGGCTGCGTACAAAGGATGTTTCTGAAATGTATTTGTATAAAGGAATGGATATTCTTTTATTTTAAAACAAAAAAGGGAAAATGACGGATTTTCTAAAATCTCCACTTTCGTGAATGCTATTGGAGTGTAAGTGGGATTCCTTGGATTTGCAATTAATTCTAAGTTCTTGTTTATGCTATCCAACTACTGAGTTTTGTGAGTAAAACAATATAGCTTGAGGCTTTTTCTGTGGGAACTTTATAATATACATGTATGTCTTGAAGAGAGGATAAAGTAACCAAAACAATCAATGCAAGTTTTGAAACCTTGAGAAATCAGTGTGGTGCAAGTGAATGATTGTGTTTAAATGCACTTCTGAATGTGTAAACAAACAGTTTGGCTCAATTCTGAGAAAACGTCTTTTTTAGTAAGTCTGCCTCCTTCTTAATCCAATCGATACATGTGCGGTTTTACCTTTGACGTATTAGTTAAACGTAAACAATTTTGATAACATGGATATGATTGTAAACGTTTTATACATGAAAAAGGTACATTTTCAAAAAGTTTCTAACGGCAGTCTTACATACTAGTAAGTTGAACAATCGTTTGAAGTACTTTCACTCAGAAGTATACAGATAAACAGCAACACATTTTGATTCATACAAAACAAGACTTATTTGACGTAGAACAGATGCCGTGCTGGAACTTTGATTTTATATTGCACACGTCTTTTTTTTTTGTCATCTGCATGTTCATCGAGTGTTAAAAATACTCCAAATAACATACATGTTTTCGTAATTCGACAAATATATGTTTTATTTTATTCGTGCGCTATTTTTCATTTGTAAGTTAAACCGTTGCGTCACTCAACTCCATATCTGGCGCGTATCGTCATTACAGTTATGTATCTTCTTTCATGGGAAAACTTCAGAACGGGAATATAAAATTCTGACAAAACAATCGAAATTTTAATAAAAATAGGAGATAACGTAATAGTGTCCTTACCTTTATAGTCCTGAGTTTATTAGACATGCTAAATGTACTTGTCCGAATGACTTTCAGCTTAATTAACATCATCATACTAGTCAATATTGTCCATTTTGAGAAAATACAGTATTGGCACACAGATGAAAAATAAACGGGTTTTGTTGCTATGCCTTTAGTTGTCTATGCTTTTTTGTAGACAGTTGTTTCTCTTTTGATCTTTATTCGATTTTTATGCCATAGCTTTTCAGTATTTTTTCGACTAAAACGGAATGCAGTTCAATTTCTATAAATCTTTAAACTTGTTTCAAAAATGTAATCTAACTGGAACAATAGCAGAGCATCCTGTTTGTGTTTAGCATTGACAAGCAAAGACTATCAAAACCTTTTCGAAACGTTGGATTGCCATTGATCAATATTAGTTGTTATATTCATAAATATTATTTCATATCAAATGAAAATATATTTATATCAACACATATATAAGCTATGAATTTAGAAGGTGATATTCTCGTTTTTCAAATACCTATGAATTTCTCTAACATCAATTAAGGTCTCACCAAATTTAACAGTTTTACACAACATAGAAAAATATTGAAAAATATTCAAAACAGATGTTCATATCAAAAAGAGTAATCAAATGTGTTCTTTTGAAGAAAACTAGGTAAATTTTTTTAAAAAGGAAGAGTGTCTTGGTACTTGATATCTAATTTTTATAAGGCTTATAAAGATTAATACATAGTTTCCCAAAAACAACAATTGTTTTACCTAATAAATTTTAGGAAAAATAAACAACACAAAAAAGGGAAGCATTGAAGCATTACATGACATTGTATTAGGTTAATACTGATCAATCAGTTTTTTCAAAAATGTGTTTTAATTGCAGGAGGTATTATATGTATCTTTCAAACCAATAATCTGTATTTCATTATTTGTGGCATTTTCACTTGTGTTCGTATTTCAGGGGTTTGCATGAAAAAAGGAACATCGCCAATTGCTAATACCGTAGAGGTAAGATTTGCTGTTGTTATTTGTTTCCCATAAACCACCAGTAGTACAGTGCGGAAATATTGTATATATAAAAATACGAAAATGTGGTATGATTGCCAATGAAACAACTCTCAACACGAGACCAAAAGACACAAAAGGCCTTATTTATGTACAAAATAACGAACGGAACACAAATATGATATACAGGAAAAACGACAACCACTGAATTACAGGCTCCTGACTTGGGATAGGTACATACAGAATGCGGCGGGGTTAAACTAGTTTGAAGGCGCGCCAACCCTTCCTCTTAATCTGGGACAGTGGTATAACAGTACACTATAAGAACAAAACTATAAAACAAAACAGGTGAAAAAGGCTTAACTCATCAGATCGATCCAAAGCAGAAATTTTGTGTTGGTTTAAGATTTATAGTTGGTATTATTGTATTTCTTGATATTGCTTTCAAACTATTTAGATTCGAGCACCACTGATGATTCTGTAATGCGTTGATGGAGTTCAAAATTAGAATTAATAAAAAAAAACAATACCTGTCATGCACACGGAAATGTGTATCAATGTTTATAAACAGGAGTAATTGGTGTTGTTCTAGTTAGAATTATATAACACTGTAGTATCTTTAACACAAATTAACATTTTTATTTCAAATATCTTATCAATATTCTGTCCCCTTTAGTACACTTGTATGACTGTTTCATGGTTTTGTCGAACGAATAGATATACACAGGTTATAAATTATTGATTCAGTAACTCTTTAGCATATTTCTTTTTTCCTTTATAAATGTTTCAATCCATGCCACAGACCTCAAAATTATTTTTTTCTTTGTTGACATATTTGTTTGTTTTTTTATACTGATTAAGATTATAACACAATGTTGACTGCTGTACCCCTTTTTTTGATATTTTTACCTATTATGTCTGTTTGTTTTGTTCACACATTTTTAATATAATGGAATTTAATGCGACTGTCATACAAGTGAGAGGTTTTGCTAGCTATAAAACCATGTTTAATCCACCATTTTTCTACATAAGGAAATGCCTGTACCAAGTAAGGAATATGACAGTTGTTTTCTATTCGTTTGATGTGTTTGAGCTTTTGATTTTTCCGTTTTGAATTTCCTTGGAGTTCGGTATTTTTGTTATTTTACTTTTTAATATCCAACTATGTAAACGATTTCCTTTATGAAATGTGTCTTCGAGTTCTCTGTGTACTGTGATTTCCATTTTGCAACACCAGATAACAACAATACATTCAGTTAGGTAAGTTTATTTTGTTTTCTATATTGATCCTTCACTTTTAATAACATGATGTATTACAGAATTAATTTTGCATACATTAATTGCACATTTACATAAAAATAATAATACAGTTTAAAGTTTTTTGGTGTATTGTCTGAACTTTCGATGCTGTTCCAAGAATTTTACAATTTAGTTAGAAAATATTGCTACAAATGCCAAAGCATGAATCAAATCCCTCTTTAAAATCATTTATCTTTGATATCAAACAAGCATGATCCTTATTATTGCTTTATAGTTTTGCATGTAATGATGATATAAAGTCGGTTTAGTTTGCAAGTGTACTGTGACTTTGCTTTCATTTTAGTCCAGTGTACTGTGACTTCATGTACAAAGCGATTGTGAATAAACTGCGACTACATGTTCAACAAATACACAGTTACTGTTATTTTAGTCCCTTTAAATTGTTCCATTGTTAGCAGCTCTAAGCCTTAGATATATTTTATCGGTTGCTCTCATATGACCTTCACTAGTTTTACGAAGAATTTGTATATTATGACTCATAGCAATATATGTACCTTTTAAGTTTATTCATTTTTTCAAAAGTTTGTTTTGTCGATTCCACCGTTCGAAGGACCAAATTGGTTGTTTTTACTGCGTTGAGAGTTAATTGGCACATAAAGACATACTGAAGCATACCATAGCTCATCATTGAAATAAAGAGATAAGATGCTAAACCGGACTTGAATTGTCGCCAACCGCTTGTCATATCACATTAGATATCGCCGCCAATAATAAGTCCAGCTCATGAAGAAATTAAACCAAATAGCATATCATCACTACCACCTATACAGAAACTGTTCGAAAGTTTTCCAGATCCGACTATATTCTAACATATATTGTTGTCTATACATAAAATAATTAAGATGATGTTGATAACTCGGATGATATGTATTGTGATGATGATATGCAATGTATTATTTAACTTTTATCAGAAGTCAAAATTTTCAGCTTGAAAGTATAAATAGTTTTTTAAACATGTCCAAGAAAAAACTTTTCCGGCAAACCGATGTTCGTATCTTCCATTTGTGTATATAGTTAAACTACTTAGGTCAGATAATGTGTAGCAAATGAGATATTCGGAAGCAATTAAACAATTCTGGCAAATTTGTGGTAAATTGATCCATGGAAGATTTTTTCGATTAATGTCTTTAGAAAAATAAACTTTAAAATTTTTGAATGGAGTTTCAATACAGTTCAATACAGTTCAACTTTAAAAGCCAATCAGCTATTGCAAAGTAATGAAATGAAACCAGGATTACTTCCTCACTTGAAATATTTTCTGTGGATAACAGACTGAAAATTTTCAAGATTTGTGGACACAGCAAAACAAATGAACATGTCATCTAGATCATTTGCGAGGGTATTGAACTGTTTGTTTTTGAAGCCAAGCGAACTTCGTATTAACGCTAAATTAAAATAAAACAAACGTGCCTTGCAGGCGGTAAAAGAGATAAGCGGGTTCAACAGAAGATATTCTATCTATGCCTTAGTGATAAGTGGTGTACCAGTTTGTATCAAATGAATGAGACTTTGGATGACTGTCTGAAAGCTATTGATGAATTTAGATAAGCATACAGCCTAGTACAAAAGTCCGCCAAGTTGTTTGCAAAAGGAGATAGTTTGCACATGCAAACACAATTCAACCGTGTAAGCTTATCCGGAGTTTAGGATATTTTGTGAGATATTGACAATTTACAAGAATATTCGACTGTTATTTCAAAGCTAGGACAGACAAAACGTATACATCGCATAATAGTTCCATACAAAGTTTTTGGGGTTATCATATAGATTAGTTAAGATAACACACCAATATGATCACCCTAGGATGTGGAAACTGATAGCTAAGGTCGTAATATGTTTATAACTACAACACGAAGTAACAGTACACAATAACATGAAGGCACAGTAACGTCATACAGATTATAAACGAGAAGTCACAGTACACCTGCAAACTAAACCGACTACGTATATTCATTCAATGTTAAAGTATAACAGTAATACAGACCTTGGATGGTGTAAACTTCCCACTAACACCATACACTATTACACCATTAAACCATTCACAATACACCATTACACCATACACCCTGTGCCATTACACCATACACGTTACACCTTTGCACCATACACCTTACACATTACACCATAATGCAATTTAATTTCAAAGAAAGCGTGCGACTACAAAATTATTTATTTATTTAAAAAAAACGAATTTTGATCACAATATTGTAAACTAATGTATAAATTTCAATAGAAAGCGTGCGACTACAAAATTATTTATTTATTTAAAAAAACGAATTTTGATCACAATATTGTAAACTAATGTATAAATTTAAAAATCAGTTCTTATCAATATTTTGCATAGTTTTAAATGTCATACACCATTCATTCACACTATTCCCGATCGCACGTTACACCATTACACCATTCCCCTTACACCATACACCATAGCATCTCCTCTTAATCTACATGGCCAAATGGAATTAAACTTAGCCACAATTATTATTATATTATCTTGATTGAAAAATGAATCCGATGACCCTGCCCTACAACCGACATGGTCCCTATTGGAAAAATAGAACATAGGGGTTTACTATAGAAGTCTATGGGAAAAATGTAAAAAAAAAACTATTTCAAATGGTCACAACTTGAAAACTAATTTAAATGATGATAAGGAGACTTCAGTAACTGTTGTAAAACTACAATGGGATGACTTGATTTTTTTGCCAGGGGGTGCATTTTTTTCAAAAAGGGAGAGTGGTGCCAATAATTTCTCCTTGATATGTTCCATTTTCAGCATTATTCAGTGTTACTTTTTCTAAAAACCATTATTATATCTTTTCTTTCAGCAAACTTATATTGGGTGAATGCCAATCAGACCCGGCGGGTTAGTCGGGGTCAGGGGAACTTCTTCCCAAATTTCTTTTGAAGGGTGTTCCATAAAAACATTTAAAGGCATTTTCAGCATTATGCAGGCCCTGGGTGAAATAAATTTTGGAGCGGAGGAAAGGATTTTTTTTTTTTTTTTGGTTAATTATCTTGAATATCATTATAGATTGTGATATACTGTAAACAGCAAAAATTTCAAACAAAGAAAGGTCTAAAAATAAGTTAACATGACAAATTGGCATTGGCATCTTATTGGAGTTATTGTCCTTTAATGGTATTTTCTGCAATTTATTGGTAATTTTTGTAAATCTTTTCAAAAATCTTCTGCTTTTAATTTAACTACTGGGCCAAATTAAACCAAACTTGGCCTCAATTATTATTAGGGTATCTATATGATTTTAACCTTATTTTACATGATTTCCAAAACCACAGTAGATACAGGTGAGCGACACATGCTCTTGAGAGCCTCTAGGTAAAGTTATTATTATTTTTATGTAAATAGAAAATAAATTAAACATACCAAACTAAGTGTATTGTTGTTATTTTGTGTTGCAAAATGGAAGTCACAGTATACCGAGATCGCGAAGGCACATTTCATAGACACCGGTTACATATTGTGAATATGTTATACCCAGTCGGACAGTTACATATGAGTTTGACTGTTCGATCCCGTATAGTAATTGAAAAGTTGTTATTATTTTGTGGTGAAATAATAATAGATATAAGAAGATGTGGTATGAACGCCAATGAGACAACTCTCCATCCAAGTCACAATTTATAAAAGTAAACCATTATAGGTCAAAGTACGGTCTTCAACACGGAGCCTTGGCTCACACCGCACAGTAAACTAAAAAGGGTCCAAAAATTACTAGTGAAAAACCATTCAAACGGGAAAAGCAACGGTCTAATCTATATAAAAAACAAGAAACGAGAAACACTTATGAACCACATCAACAAACGACAACTACTGAACATCAGATTCCTGACTTAGGACATGTGCAAACAATTGCAGCGGGTCTAAACGGTTTAAAGGTACCAAACTTTCATCCTTGTCTACAACAATAGTGTAACATCACAATATAGAAAGACACATTTTAAAATATCAATTGTAATGGCTTAACTCAATCAAAAGACTTAATAACACAAGTGAACATACACTGAACGAATAAATTTGATCTATGATTCAATGTAAATACAAAATCAATAGAATAAGGGATGAATAATTATTAAAGTAACAGTATTACATTTACAATAATATTATACACAGGTAAATGAAAATAATTTTGTTGTTAGGTATACAGTTTAAAAAGTGAAAGGAAATATTTTTACAAAATAAATAATTTTGATGTTCATAGTTCGAAGAAGTGAAAATTTATGGTAATACCAAACACTTATTAAAGCTGGTATATAGACCAGATATAACCCTGAATAAGTAAACATTAAATAACAAAAAGCATTACAAATAGTATCAACAGGTCAAATTAACAAGAAAGTACGATTTGAGAGTACTCGCAGTTACTGACAACTAGTTAAAAGCCAAAACCAATTAATTATAACAAATCATACATCAGAGACTAAATATGTTTATATTTTAAGGTAATATGTTGTTATATTGAAATGACTCTAATGAATTAAATGGTAGGTTAATTTTCTTTCACAGTGTTTTTGTTTAACTGAGAGTCTATTTTTTTAATAGGAAGGAAATAACCCTGAATAAGTTAACATTAAATAACAAAAAAGCATTACAAATAGTATCAACAGGTCAAATTAACAAGAAAGTACGATTTGGGAGTACTCGCAGCTACTGACAGCAAGTTAACAGCCAAAAACAGTTAATAATAAAAAATCATGCATCAGAGACTATTATTATATCTTAAGGTAATATGTTGTCATATTGATATGACTCTAATGAATTAAATGGTAGGTTAATTTTCTTTCACAGGTTTTCTGTTTGAATGAGAGTCTAGTTTTTTTTACAGGAAGGAAAAGGATCTCATACAGAAAATAAGCAACTTTCAGCGCCAGGTAATGATTGCAGCAGCAACAACAGTAAATCAATACTAAATAGTTCTGACAGAAAACCCAAAGATAATCTATGCTCTACAGGCACAACTAAAGCTGCAACATTACAAGGTAAGATATTATATTGACAATCAGTCTCAATTTGTGTTCATTTTGATTAAGAATACAAAACATATTCTGATGGTATATATAGTTTATAAGATATGTTTTCAATTTGTTTGGAGTCACGGCGACTAATAGCTTTACACATGGAAAATACACATGTCTCTTGTTAAACACTCTTTATAAATCTTGATTGCCGTTTCTGTTTTATTGTGTTGTTCAATTGCTGTCCAAATGATGTGAAACCGAATGTTTAGTATTCGCTGTTAACATTTCTACGACAGTGCGGCAACAAATATTTTAATGATAGATACAATAATGCTTATATATTGCTTCATACTTGCATTACTACAAAGAAATTTCATGAGCGGGTGTGTAGTTCATATATTTTTGTAATTAGCGAGGACAACCAGTTATTTTTAAACGTTAGATGGCATATTTCATGATGAAACTGACAAAAACATTATTAAGTGACTTGAAGATGCAGTAGAGTACAAAGTTAATCAGTTTGCGAATCCTTAAATTGTGGGAGACATGGGGTCAGATTCGTTAGAGCTGTGATACCGGCCTGAATTATTTCTATATCCTATTGAATATATGAGTACAATGACTCCTAATCATTTAAATTTGTTAAGACACAATCTCATATCCTGACAAATTACTTAATGTCCTGGTAAACTGAAGAAACAGTTTTTCCCAAATTTGTTTTTAATTTCTGTTGTAAATACAAGTCCTTGATCGATGACTAGTTACCGTCAGTTACAAGTTAACGTCACCTGCCGTTTTATTCAATAACGGAAATTATGTGTAAAAACAACAGACTGCTGATATTTTCAGATCGATATTTTTACAAATTCAGTTTTTTTTATCCGATAATGATAGGGAAATGCCGAATATTCTATAAATTAAACACCTCATTGATAGAACCACGAATGGGGACATGACGTCATTGCTTTTTGTCATCCTCGGTGACAACGCAATATCTAACCTTGGTTTAGAATATATCATTTATTTCAACTGATCCTAAAAGTTTATAATTTTCAAAATTAAAGTTTATACGTCTCTCTTCAATACAGTGTAAGTGGTTGATTTCTTTTTACGTAATTTTCACATTCAGACCAGAAACCTTCCAAATTATGGTCAAAATCATGATGTGTTAGGTTCAATTGGTATACCTTTTTTTCTTCTTGCTACACGAAATAAAAATAAATTATCTTATTGTCCAGACTAACTTTAAATTCTATCATTTAATGGTATGATTCAAAAGTTAGGGTAACTGGTCATCGTACCTAAGAAATTTCCCGCAAAATTCGCCATACGATTAATTAGTTGTTTTCGTTGTTTATAAGAGGAATCAAAAGCGGAGCCTATGGTTATAAATCTTACTTATGGTAACCCTCGTTATGTTAAAAGAATATTTCCTCAAACAGTCCATGTTAAAAATTATTCAAGAATCTGATTGTTACTAGTTCTAGACCAGTGCAGTTTAAATAGTTATTTCTTCTAATGACTTGGAGATTTTAAATACTTTAAAATAATGTCGATCAAATTTTTTTATGAGACTTATTGAATCTTTTATGAGTCTGAAGCGACAATTCTTTACTAAATTTGGCTACCTGAGCTCGCTTCCTATATTATAGTAAACTCTTCTTTTAAAGTTTCTGCTTTTTTTGTGTTCAGGAAAGTGGTCATCCAGTAAGTAGCTCAATTTTGGGTGTTCATGCGTTTTATTTTTACGAAATGTGGTCAAAATAATTGACGAAAGTGGTTTTGTGGTAGTAAGAATACTTTAGGTTGTGCGCATGCGTCCAGCGTAACAACTTACAAGCTTTATGATAGGCTTTATAGAGTTATAATCATCAGTAGGTCGATGCCACTGTTAGTAGACGTTTCGTCTCTGATGGAATCAACATCCCATTGGTCAGCACTCATGTGTTAAAATGAAATATAATCAATAGACTCATTTGTTGAGTCTTTTGTAGACGAATTGCGCGTCTGGTGTAAAAAATCCTAAGCATGGTATATTTGATGAGATGTTTTACTATTAATTTACAATTAATAAAATGTTGAATTATTTGAAACACTAAGGCTTTACTATCACCAGAAACAGATGGCCTTAATCAACTTCGGCTAAACATTTTGGAATCTTATGTTCTTAATGCTCTTTAACTTTGTATCTCGTATCTGACCTTCCAGCTGTATTGATTCTCGCTACTGATAATTTTTTGTACGCAATAACGCGTGTCGGGTGTTAGTGGTTGGTCTTGTATGTTGTATTATCCAATATTTCGGGGTAACTCCTCTAATTTATTTAATGAATATTAAAAATTTGATTAGCTGTACGAACAAAAAGTACGTCAAAGGAATTGGCAAAACCAACTTAGGTCAACTTTGTTTGAGGGAGATGAAATAAATGTATGGTAGGTTGACTTCTCGGAATATGTTGTCCGCAATAGCTACTAGTAATTCTTCCCATGTCATAGCACAATTACAGAGGCATACACTGATCAGTGAGCTAGGTATTTTAATACTCATATTATGACTTAAAAGTTTTTGCGGTACCAATCTCGATTAGCCAGGTCGTTCCTTATGCGTGTGTCATTAATGCCAGTTAACGACAATTCAGAAAGTGCCTCACTTTAAACTAGACTGATATTGACACTACTAAATTTTTCAATGTTTTACGATGTCGTCGGTGTCTTAAATCTTGCAATGGTTATCTTATTAAATGACAATACGAAGGTTGAATTCTGCGGAAATGTGAATACGTACGATGATCTTTTCTGCTTTCTTTATAAACCCAAGGCGACTAGTGCTTTGAGGACTAATATTATGAAGTGAATACAGAATTTACATAAATTCTCAAAAATTCATTTCCACCTGTATGTAAAATCATTTTTCTACACTTGATGCATCCATCAGCTTGGGAAAATATATTCAGTAGACGCTGTATTTTTTGTCTAATCGCAGTGGTCAGAATCATTGATCTAAGTACACAAAAGAGCAACCTAGTTTCAAGAAAGTAAATACTACTGTTCCACCGTTACTGTCGCCGATTGTGTTAATTTAACAACCGGCACGGACCTTCAAAGGGTAAATGTTCTTACGTTTAATTATTTCTAAACCGTCAAATCCTAGTATAATTAAGTTTATATATTTACTGTTGGTGTTAAATTCATACAAATATTGATCTATTATTGTCTGAAAAAATTATCACTTAATTTTGTCACATGCTTTCATTTCGTATGAAAACAACCAATGCTGTATGAAAGTAACCCATACCGTATGAACGCAACCCATGATAATAGACTTGTTAGTGACTCCTACCAACTTAATCAACACTATATTTACGGAATACTTGTGTCATCCGTACAAACGATTATGCTTTTAAAAAACTCTCAACTTTTATTTTTTGAAAAAAGGTAGTTGACAATATATCGTGGTATGTGTAAAGCTAATATAAATATATAAAAATTAATTATAGTCCTATGATGCAATTACAAAAATGATTGACATCCCCTTAAGCCAATGTTAGCTATATGACGTATTATAATTGATTTGACATGGATTGATACTGCCTTCTTCTCACTAAACAATTTCTTACCAAGTTTCGTGTTAAAGTTTTATTTTTACATTCAAAATGTGAATAGCATGTATTGTATTTTTCTTACTTCGAAAATCTGTAAATATACGGATTGGCTGCTGAGATATTTGTTATATTTGATACAAAATGGAAGCAAATGACTACCACATTTTTAGCAAAAAATGTGTCTATGGTTCCTGCAAAATGTGATGATCACTTACTTTTATTTCGTGTATAGCTTAAATAAAAGACAGCATTCAATTTTATATTGCATTTTAAATATATCAAATCAGGCTATTTAAATATTTTTTTTAAGTTATAAACAAACAACGTAATTTTTACAGGTGTTTTATTTTGACCTACTCATCTACAAAACAAACAATGTGTATGTGTACTATTCGTCTGAATGTCCCTCCTATTTATGAAAATTATTCCCTCCTGTTACTGTTTAATTCGTTTTAGGAAGAAATATTCAATCACTACATATTTTTCAACTAGAAGCACTCAAAAGAAAATCAAGTTAATTTTGTCAAGGGAGAAATTATCAGAAAATGACAAACTGAAACTATATGAAACAACGTCAAAATCAGATGAATAAGAATTAATTAACATATAAACAACTTTTGTTTTATTCTTACACACCTAATACATTACATAGGTATTGAAGTTACTTGACCTTAGCAAAACGATTCCCAGCAGTCCAGAATGGTACAATTACCCACATTTTCGTATCTTCATATTCAGGGACCTAAACATGTTTACCCTTAAACCTGTGGAATGACGTTTAAAACGAATTTCGCCTATTCTTTAAGGTTTTCTGTTGTGAAAAAAGGTTTCCTCTTATCACACGGAATGATAACGGAAAGATCATTCTAAATACTGTTGCTGAAAAATATCTTTCACATTAAATGGTGACTTGCGTATTTTGAATTGTATTAGTTGAACATTGCTATCTAACGTTTATATCGAAGACAACTTTGACATTCTACAGTTCACATGCTAAAACAATGACTTAGACCATGTTTTAAACCTCGAACTACCCCTTTTGAGGGCCATCATGTAATCTTCTAATGCATCAGACTATTGTTGTTCGATATCCAATGACATTCGCTATTACCCCTGCTTAAAGATAACTTCAGTACGCAATTCAATGTTCTTCTCTGAACCATTTTTGCATAGACGAACAAGTTCAAAACGTTCGATTACAATGAAAATACATCTTTGGTGCATAAAGTTGAATATACAAAGTGTATTTAAGGTCAACGTACATTTACTGGCCTATGTCACAGATTTTGATAATTTCAAACAACTTTGGCATGTTGGATATTAAAATTAACCTAAAACATGCTGCATTTATCATTTCTTTTCTGAACTATTAATGAATGATTTATTTCAAAATATGTGAACATCATTTTTGTTTAGAAAGCAAATTAATTCGACGAAAAACGTTCATTTTGTCTTAAAATCATCAAATCGCTAACATCATTTTTGTTTAGAAAGCATATTAATTCGACGAAAAACGTTCATTTTGTCTTAAAATCATCAAATCGCTAATTACAAATTCATTGCCTGTTCTTTAAGAAATATATCATTTACTGTACATTCATCTTAATCTCCTCCAAATGTTATTTTTCAATCATTAATGATATTCTCTAGTGAAGAAAAGAAAAAAAAAGAGAATCGGACAAAAAAAGGTAGACGTTCCAAATGATATAAACGATGAAAAGTTGAAGCTACATAGTCAATCAAGTAAGTATAATAAAAAGGACCAAGCTAATGCATAACGTTATCAGTGACCAAAATTGGCATTAATGAATAATTACATTACATGTATGTTTCATAAGAATAGGTACTTTTGAAGACAACAACCGCGTTGCGTTCTAAAATCAAATGTTATCTCTCAATAAAATGCAACATTCATGACTGCAATTACTTCCAATGACAATGTCACGACGATGCATAGGAAAACAAACCATAAGCCTGATATAGCACGTAGTTTCATAAGCTCGTATTTGTAGAATACCAGGATAAATTTTTATCATATAAACATTAGGAAAAAGTAGGGAACCCTCTTCAGTGTTATCTAATCTTTATTTTTATTACATCTCATAGTAAAATCCTTACTGAATACATGTCTTATAACTTTGAAAACGGAATAACAATCAGCGAATATGCTCTTTAGAATGAACGCACCACTCAAGAGATCCCAGATGTACATATTATACAAACACACAAAGTCACATGTATTCATATTTGATTAATACCTTCAAATATATGATGTGTTAATAGCTAGATCTGTTCTTGATTTTGTTCTGACACCGATCATTTACCTTTTGCAAGAAGGCATTTCTTGTTTTGGAGACAAATATTTTTTTGCAAACTTCCATAAAAACAAAGCTTATTGTTTCAATAACAAACAATGAGAACAAAAAACATTTAGTTCTGATCATTGTTGTTAGTTTAACTAATTTTCAATAAAAACTACTTCCCCTCTGAAAAATAATATTTGTTTCCAGAAATTCAAAATTTAGCAATTCTGAAAACAAACCTGCTCCCCACCAGATTATGGTCGCCGGTGCCTTATTACAACGAACAAAATAAGGGTTGGATATATATTTTTAATCGATATGTTGTATATTGCTCAAAATGTGTTTTGATTAGTTTTTCATGTACATAATAAAAAAATGCAATCTATATAATTGTTCACCATATTAAAGTTTTATTCATTTTTTTAATTTAAAATGCGGAAATCTGTATATCATGCAATTGGCAATATTTCTAATATTTATTTCGAAATAGTTTATGTTTTAATTGTGTTCGATTTAGAGGTTTATACTTCACAGCATCAACCAAAATACTTAATTTTGTTAATTGAGTAAAATAGACAAGTACCATTTTAAATAGCAACACGTGTCTTATAAATAGAAACGAATCATATCAATATGAAAAGTTAGGAGATGTGGTGTTTGTGTATTCAAGTCCAACCTTACAAGTTGGAGGAGCAAAATGCCATTTATTCGTCCAATAAAATATTCATAGTAATGGTTTGTTGAATACTAATATCTATTTTCTCCCAACACTTCGTTCGTCCGTAAAAAAATATAATATTTGTTAACATTGCCATATAAGCGGGAGGTTTGGCTAGCCATAAAACCAGGTTCAACCCACCATTTTTTATCAAAATGTCCTGTACCAAGTCAGAAATATGGCAGTTGTTATCAATATTCCGTTTCTATGTATGTTGGCGTTTGTTTTTGTTACAGTTCAGTGTTTCTGTTGTTCTGTTGTTTTTCTCTTATAGTTCACGTGTTTCCCTCGGTTTTAGTTTGTTACCCGGATTTGTTTTCTCTTAATCGAGTTATGACTTTTGAACAGCGGTATACTACTGTTGCCTTTATTTGTCTTTCCTTAATGAATAATGACAAAAACAGTAAATAGGATTTAGTCACCAACTGATGCAAACTGCTAAATATACTCATTAAAATACACAGATATTTTTTTATTTTAATGTCTCTTTTGAAGGCGGTATGGTGACCTATAGTTGTTAATTTCTGTGTCATTTTGGTCTCTTGTGAAGAGTTGTCTCATTGGCAATCATACCACATCTTCTTATTTTCATATTAAGGATGTGTTCAAAGAAAGAAAAAGAAAAATAGGGGACTTGTACTGCTTTCGTGTAACGGTTCTATTTTAATATCGAAAAAAAACCTTGCATTGCATCCAACTGTGCAATTGTTCTAATATATAAAAAAAATCTTTTAATTACAATAACAAAAATAAGGAGTCTTTAGAACTTTTTTACGCTGTTGATAGGCTGTTATGATGAAAGAATCTGTTTATGTATTCACAACATATAAGAACAATTATTTGATCTGTGTGTCTGTCCATCAGATATGTATTATTTTGTAAAAATAAAATCCTTCATATTCACATAGAAAAGAAACAAAGAAAAACTACGTCAAACCATTCAATTTTGTGAACTTGTTATCTTATAGTAAAAAATGTAAAGGAAAAAAGAAAATTCTAAGGGTACATTTGAAAACCAGAACGGCTACTACTAGCACTTAAATGCATTATGGGAAAACATGGCAAAATATCTTAAAACAACTTCATAATGGAAGATGCATGACCTCAATAGGTTTGCAAACGTTCTGTGAGGTTTCAGGGTTAAAAACTGTCGAAGGAGTAGATTACACAAAGTTGGAACCATCTTGATATCTTATCACTTTTTTACCAAATGAAAAATAACGAAAATTTATGAAACGTGTTACCATTTTATGCTCCTCTGTGTAATTCCCATTTTTTTACGTGTGTGCTGGCTTACCATCCTAAAGTTAACAATTTATCACACATTATCGACGAAAACTGGATAGAAATCAAAAATCTTTCCCGAGCCTCCCGTACTGGCTTTCCTTAGGCCTGAAAGCCTTAAAGACTTGCTGGCGAGAGCCGATTTATACTCTAAATAAGGCTCCTCGTCAGCGGGCTCCTTGAAGTGTTGTCGGAACAAACGACAAACGTAGTGACTATGAATGTAATCCAGACCTTCTTCTCAGTTGACATTTGAGATCCCCTGGCCACACAAAGGCAGATCTCGATCAACTGACTATAACCATGAACACAACACTGCTTGGTTTAGGGATCGGAGAATCACTCGGGAAAGATTTGGGATAAGAAAATATTAAAAACGTTGGCACCAAATGGGATCAATGAAAAGGTGTAGTTCTAATCGCACAGTGCTATTCAATTGGGTTGTTTAACTAAACAGTCTCTGTTGTAACTCTTTTACCTGCGTCAACTCTGCAATTCTGGATTGGATGTTTAAATACGCAGCCTCTGTTGTTATTACTTAATCTTCGTTAACTTTAAAATTTTAGAATGATACCAGTTCAAATCAAACAATGCTATTTATTTGGGATGCATAAATACGCGGCCTCTGTTGTAATTACTTAACCTTCGTAAACTATGACATTTTAGAATAATACCAGTTCAAATCGCACAGTACTTTCCATTTGGGATGTATAAATACACAGCCTCTGTAGGTATTACTTAACCTTCGTTAACTTTGAAATTTAAGAATAATACCAGCTCAAATCGAACAATGCTATTCATTTGGGATGTTTAAATACGCAGCCTCTGTTGTAATTACTTAACCTTAATGATTTAACTCAACTTTCGTCCCCTGTGAAATTTTAGAATTGTACCAGCTCATATCGCATATTTCTATTCTTTTGAGATGCATATCTATGCAATCTCTGTTGTAAATACTTAAAAACCTGAGTCAACTTTGTAATTCAAGAATTATACAAGCGTAGGTCGGTTTTTAATTTGTATAACGTTAAAGATTGTTTTAGTTAAAATCAGAATAGATTGAAATGATTCATTATATATCATCATACTGATAAAGGATATCTGTTATCCGAAATATTTATTGACACATGTATTTACTGTTTCCTTTTTAATATTGGTGTTGTTTTGTACACTTTTGTTTTACGTATATATACATTATTTTTCTATTGTGCACAGTATCGTTAGTTTTTCATGACGATCCAGCGCCCTCGTAATATATATGAAAGTCACATGGATTTTGATTCTGAAAAACACATTCCCTAATTTTTATATTCATTTTTTTTTTTCATTACTGTAGCCGATCGTAAAGTAAAACCCTGAAATTTATGTGATACTATCCACTAGTTGACTGTTTAAATCCCATATTGTTGGGCAGCTATCTATTACATGTATCCCGCTGTTGTGTCATGTTTATCAAAACAATGAATGCAATAGTTACATGAGCATGATAAGAGAAACATCTCAAAGATTTTACCCAACTAAGTTTATTTTTACACCTTCTGTAGCATATCAAAATCAAAGATAACCATATCAACATTATATTATAAATATTGATAAAAAGGATATGAAAAGTTCTTTTGAAAATCCGATTAAACCTGTGTTGTCTTCTGCTTACAGTATATAATTACACATGTAAATGATCTAGTAATAATGAAAAGAGGAAAGTGTCTGAAAAGCAATTGACAAATCAAACAAACCTGCAACATGCTTGTGAATTAGCTTATAATTTACAACACATTTTAAATTATGATTAAAAACATATGTTCAAACTGAATGGTTTCACAACGTATATATAATGTCTCTCCTTTTTTATTGGTTCTTTGCTTTACTATTGACTCCACCAAAAGGAAGGTAGTACCTTAGCTAAAAATGATTTCAAGGTTCAGCTAGCCATCAAGCTAACCAACAATTTTACCTTTATCTACACACTCAAATATGGGCTCTTTAAACTTATTTATTGAACACATTTGAAAAAAGTGACCTTTGTCTTCATGATTCGATAAATGGCCAATTATTGACATATATATATATATATATATACATAAATTTTGCGTTTAGCATCAGTTTGACATCTTACATGCATATATACATCTGGAAATAAATCAACTGTAAAAAAATACGTATATATATATATAATTTGTTTTGCATGCACACGTATAAAAATTGCGGTTTTTATCCAACGCAATCATATGTTTGAACGTTGTTTTCAGTTTAGACTTGTTTATATATATATATATATGTATTTTTTTACAGTTGATTTATTTCCAGATGTATATATATGCATGTAAAATGTCAAACTTATGCTGAACGCAAAATTTATGTTCTGAATTCATAAAAACTGTTAGAGTGAATCAAACAACATACACAACTGCTACATTGCATTGCCTCCTGTTTTTGTCGAACCTGCGAGATTTATTTCGGGAAAGCGAGACATAGCGATCCTAGATTCCGTCGTCGGCGTCGTCGTCGTCAGCATTTAGGTTCAGTCTGTGGTTAAAGGTTTTAAGATCATCAATAACTTCATAAATCTAAAATGGAATTTTATGAAATTTGAACATAAGCTTGTTTATGACCAAAATACAGTATCAAGCGCAAAATTTTGAAAATATTTATTTTCATTTTTCCGTTTTTGACTGATAAATGGACTTAGTTTTTTTACATTTAACATTCATATTCAGTTTGAGGTTAAAGTTTTTCAGTTATCATGGAATTTTATGAAATTTGAACAGGAGCTTGTTTATGACCAAAATACAGTATCCAGAGCAAAACTTGAAAATATTTATTTTCATTTTTCCGTATTTTACTGATCAATGGACTTAGTTTTTTTTTACAATTAACATTCATATTCAGTCTGGGGTTAAAGTTTTTCAGTCATCAATAACTTTGTCAACTCTTCATGGTATTTAATGAAATTTGGACAGAAGCTTGTTTATGACTTAAATACAGTATCCAGAGCAAAAATTTGAAAATATTTATTTTCATTATCTTGTATTTTACTGATAAATGGACTTAGTTTTTTTACAAGTATATACAGTCTTGGGTTAAAGTTTCTTACACAACAATTACTTTGTCAAACCTTCATAGAATTTATGAACCTTTGGTAGAAGCTTTTTTATGATTAAGAAATTATGTGTGATGCAAACTTTCGAAAATCTGTATTGATTTTCAGTTTTTACAGTTACAATTTACAGACAGTCTGGGATAAAATTTTTTAGACATGATAAATTTGTTAACCTTCATAGATTGTTGTGAAACTGGGTCTGAAGCTAATCTTTAAGACTAAGAAATAGCATCTAAAGACAAAGGTTGCATGTTTTTTATTTTGAGTTCTGTATTTTACTGATAAATGGACTCACATTTTATGTCAACATTACACTTTTACACTGACAGCAGCAATCGCAGTTGAGACACAGGGTTCTGCGGAACCCCTTTCGACTTTTTATAGAAAGATTTTGTTGCGACTTGTGTCATCTTTTATCATGGTATGTGTTTGTCCCCTCCTACAGACCTTTCCAGAGAAACCCCCACAATTGTTCAGTATAAACAAAGCAAGTTATTTGATAGTTACGTATGCAAAAATGTCATTTCTTGGCTTCTTTCCTTTGGGAAAAAAATAAGCTTGTTTCTCTTTCAACTAAATAAAATGTACCTATACATTTCACAAAAACAAAACAAATATTAATGAGCATAAAACAAAAACAAAAACTTTATAACTTTTCCTTAATATTAACCGTTTGAGTTTAATTAAAGGACACCGGCCACTTCAAACTATCATTTGTAAAATAAATCGTAATGGGATGTAAACATCGTTTATTTCGTAGATTAGTGTGTAACACATATCGTATGTCTATAAAAACAGGTTGTATCAGCTTGAAATAACCCTTTTCCGGACATTGCCGATAATTGCCGACAATTAATAAGCATCGTCCCGAATGACTGCGTGACGTTACTTGTGTTGTTTACATTCGCCATACCACGACAAACACAGCTATTTCCAACTCAAATTAGACAAAGTATTCAATGGATTTCGACGGACAGGACAGCGGTGATGAGCCATTTATAACTGCTGTTGATAATATTCAACCGTATCAGTTCGAGCCTGTTGTTCATATTGAACAAAACGAAGTGAGCAGTCAAAATCAATCGGACTCTGAGGAAAATTCTGAAGTCGACGAATCTGACTCCTCTGACCTGCAAGATAGCCGGATGGATAACTTGGCATGGTATGGTTGATTGTCCAACATTGTCTAACATGATTAAATAACTAACATAACCAAGCCTCCGTAGATGTAAATGTGTTTTGGTTTTTTGTTCTTTATTAAAAAAGGGGGGTTGACATGTATATCATACACATTTGCCGACACTCGTATATTAAAAAACTCCCTGAACTACATACAGAGTCAAATGAAATGAGATAATGCCATACTTTCATTTTCAAAGAAGAAGATGATGAATAAGGCCTACAGACTATTAGTTTTTATTTAAAAAATAGGTTCTGATTTTGTTGTACATTTTGTACATGTAGTAATTACTCACAATGATATGGAATTAATGTTAAAATGTGCCATGCTATTCATTTCACACTGATGCATTGTTACCTTTTTTATGAATTACTTGACCGTTTTTTACAAATCTACATAATAATGGATTTTAAGGATTTATTGTAAAATATTTGCAAGTCAAATCTACGTAGTACATTAAATTTCCCAGGTGTGACTGTAACAACTGCACTGTAATAACCACTGTGAATGAATGCCTTTGTTGCAAGGAAGTTGGTCCAGTTGTAGAAAAGATGGAAGATGGGGACCTTAATTGCATAACAGACCATGAGGGGTTTACTGGAAACTGTCTAAATAGACATGTCATTGGGGTCTCTTTGTATGACTTTGTTGAAAGGCAGGGACCAGTAGATGATAATGAACCAATTCATGCGTAAGTTCAATTTAATGTCGTCGATTAAACAAAAATTTAACTTCACAACTATCATTTTTTAATTACAATTTCAATCAGAAACATAATAAAAAAAATGTCAAGACCAAACTGATGATGGAATGCAAAAAAGGCAAAATAATTAAATCTGGATAATCAAATATATCATCATGAAAATATGAAATCATCTTAATCACTTTTTTTCAGCATACTGAAAATCAGTTATGATAATATCCTTGTTCAAGCCTTAAGTATCACTTTGTATAACGAATTTGAATAATCTGTTAAATATTTTATTTTTTTTTCAGATTATATAGATATATTGCATACAGACGATTCACTCAGGCCATGATAATTTGAAAAAAAATATTTCATGAAGCTCTCAATTTCCCGCCCATATATGTGGTTAAAATCTGTGTATATTTCATGTTTCCACGACCTAGTAATGAAAGATAAAAACAATTGATTACATGGTGTTGAGTGTGGTAAATACAAGGATAATGGTGAAGAGTTGTTTTGAACAATGATCACATAATATATTAAAACAAATGTACAAGTATGCAAAGTTGAGAAATGATGTCAGTTACTAGCAAAACGACTTGTCCGATGTCTTATTAGCTCCTCCTTATCAAAATGAGCATTTGATGCTGTTAGTGGAGGAAGTCTCTGGTATACAATGTTAAAGTCCTCTAAAGCTTCTTTAATGCTTGACAAGTTATTTCGTCTGTCAAAAGTTCTTTTCAGAAGAGCTCCAACATAATCTACAAGACAAATAGAAACAATATGTAGTAGCTCAGCCTCTAATTCACATAACTTAGCAGTTCGAATTTATAAATGCACTTACATGCATGTGCATTATGCATTTTGAGAATACAAACTTATTCAATTTCAATTGTACAAAAAGAGACTCATTCTGCTGTAAATAAACCTTTAAAATTCCCATATATAAAAATAAACTGCTGAAGAGCAATATTATTACAAAGTAAATGTCTTGCATAGTGCTTTTTATGTTTTAATTATTGAACCAGAAAGTTTTATGAAATCCTACCATAGGTTGCTTGAACTTTCTGTGGTTTGACAACACATTGCTCTCCTTTTTTTGCCTTAGGGTACGACTTTTTCCATTTCAAGATTCCTGCTTTTGTGACAGCTTGCTGTCTATTTCCATATTCATTGAAATGCAATGCAGCAATGTAAATTCTGAAGAAGAAGAAAAAACGGTACAAAAGCATTTAAATCAACAGATTTATAAATAAAGAACCTACTAAACTTTTTAATTTATTGCTTCAAAGTTTTAAATTAGCCACTGATGAGTTTATATGTACACTATATGGTGACCATTTAATGTAATTAAAGTACAGGAACACACCTTTCACTATTCTGTTTGCTATTGGTTATTTTAACATACTGTTCACAATAAATTAACCTTGCTTTCATTGCATACTGGAAGAAGTGGGTGTTCTTTGGTGCATACTGGTTCACAAGAGAGTGATACACCTCAAGGCCATATGTCTGGTGCACTGGTGACAACTTTTTTAAATCGTTTAGCAAATATTTGCTTTCGATTACTTCCAGAACAAGTTTATGAGATCTGGAACCTAAAAATTAAAATTGAATATCATTTATTAAAGAAATAATTTGAGCCATAGAAATGTATAGATTCAAACTTCAATGCCTCACTTAGATGCGAACATTTCATTATATATGGCTCATGATATAGACATTTTATAAAAATAAGAGGATGTGGTATGATCGCCATTGCGTCGATCTGATAAATCAAACCTTTTTATTTTTTTATTTAAATAGTTTCTTATTTTAATTTGTACAAAAACACGAAAAATCACAATTCGACTTTTATCATAGAAATATGGAAACCATTTTTATTTCAAGATATTTTTTACCTTGTTTAAGCCAAGCTCTTTGTTCTTCAAGTTCTCCATGGATACATTGCGGAAATACATTAGACTCATGGACATGTTTATTGATGATGTGGTTGGAAATTGATGTCCATTTGTGTATTTTCACATTTTGATCTTCCCCACTTGATGCAGCTACCCAATATGTATGGTTAACAATGCTCTTTATCCATGGTCTTATGTCCCCTGTATCTTTCTTCTTGGCTCTGGTTTCCAACTTTTTTGATATTCCTGTAAGCAATGGATTAAAGTAAATATTTCGAAATGCAAATTTTGTTTTATTATTTAACATTCTAAGAGTATTGCGGTTTTATAAAACAAGATTTGTTATTCAATTATTTGAGATTTTTCACTCACAACTTGATTAGATTGTATAAATAGCTATAGTAAGAAGTTGAGTGAGTTATACCTTTTGCTATATGCCATACATCGAAATAATGATTTATTTCTGGATGGTTGTCCTTCATGAACTTCTTAATCATAACATGTCTATCTGTGACAAGCGTTGAGACTTAAATATTATTAGTGTCCATAAGAAGGGACAAACCCCTCTTTAGTCCTTCCAATTCCATATGGGTTGACCCCTTAACTTCATTAGACTGAAATAAATAAGCAAACAATGAAATTATTTGTCATCATAATTTATGAAAACAATGAGATTTGGAGAAAATTTCATGAAATACTGGCCACTGGACAACAACAATCAATCCGTAGTATGCATGTTAAATTGTATTTATTCCTAATCATTTATACATATATAATTTAAAAATTAGATAAAAGCAATGAGATTTGGGTAATATTCATGAAATACTTGCCACTGGACAGCAACAATCAACCCGTTTTATAGTTGTATGCATGTTAAGCTGAATTCATTTGGAATCATTTATACAGATCTAATTTAAAACTAATATCGATAACCCTATCAAGTGTTAAATTAATGCAAACCTGAACAAGCTGAATGTCCAATATTTTATTTGTGTTCAAGTCCATCAGGGTATAACTGCCATATTTAGCACTATAACCAGGACTGTCACACCTTCCGTCGCCACCAAGTACTACTTGTTTATCTGGACCTGCAATATTAAAAAGTGTAATGCATGAAGATTATAACATTTTTATTTATATAATAAACAATGAAATTATTTCGTACAGAAAATATATTATGTTCTGTCACAAGATACTTAATTTGAGAGTGGGAGAAAATGAGGATAGAAATAAACATGTATTCCAGGAAATAAATTAAAAGAGACTTGGGTATAATAAACGAAGTAACACTATGAAGAAATATACATACCTTGCAAGGAAGTAAGGAGGTCTGCTTGCTGTGAGTCAAATTCATAAATAACAGCACATGATGTGTATGCTGTTTGCAGTCTTCTTACTGAGCGTTCACTAATACCTTTCAGTTTCATTTGATCGAATAATCTTACAATCTTGGCTGTATTATTTCCGCTAAACATTATGGCACTTGCAAGTAAAAGATTTCCCCATGGTAGTCTTTCATGACAGTTTTGGGATTTCCACTTGTAGACGTGTCCAAAAGCACATACAGATGATGTAGATATCATTGTCCCTCTACTGAATTCAATTATTGGAACGCACCGACTGTTACACTCTCTACATACTGAGAGTAACTGAAATAATGCTGTTTCAGAGACCATGTAATACTTTTCTTCAATTGGATTATTATATTCTTCCATCCTGTAATTGCTTGTTTCTTCGTCTTCATCAGAACCATACTCATCATCTCCATCTTCTTCCTCGGACTCGTTATAAATATAATCAGGATCATTATCATATTCATCTACATCATCTTCATCATCATCCATCTCATCATTGTCATCCAAGTTTTGTTCGGTCGCTACCGGTGTATGGCTACTGATTGTAGTATTTGCGGTTATCAATTTTTTTGATGTGGCGACTAGACATTCTGAATCAATATCTGAAGGGTTACACTGGATGCCTTTTGATTTTCTCTTGGGCTTTGACGTTTGCAATCTTCTTGTTCTCTGTGGAATGGAATCTGTTTGAAATTTCTGTGTTGTCATGTTTGTGGCATCGGTATTAGAAGCAGTTGTCTCGAATGTTTTTTGTACATCTACCGGAATTGCTTCCTCTTCCCGAATGTCCATACTGTCATGTGCGGGTGACGATTCAGTTTCAATGTCAATGGAGTCTAAAGACTTATCTAATGAATCACTGAAGGCCTCTTCAAGAACCTATAGATGATATTAAATTTTTATTTAAAAAAAATGCTTTCATTAAAAAAAATATATTCTCATACATGAATGTAAAAAAAATCATATATCCCGTAAATACACCTTTTTTTATGCGTGGTATTCGGGAAAGGACTGTCGCAGATTTCTGGTGGAATTGAATAATTGATATGTTTTTTTATGTTTTCTTTAGCAAGACTCGCGAAACCTTATTCGTTTATTTCATTTTATAATAGATTCAGAATGGCAATACACGGACTCCTTCTTCAAGCGAAATTATAAATTATCCTCAAACAACTCATTTCAGAAAAAAAAGTATACGAGAAAAAAAAATACTCGGAAGTCCTGAACATTTCAGTATTACTTACGATAATTTTTTTAATGGATCGTAGTATTTTGTAAATGGATAAATACCTTTTCATGTTAATAAGATAAATGCCTGTGACAATTTTCAGAAGAACAAAAACGGGAAGAAAGATATACAAATATAATAATTGTTTATAAGTATTGAAACCATACAGATAACCATGAACGTATGTTTCACATAAGTTTCGATGAATAATAAAGAGGATCAATTGTACCTGACGTTTCTGTCTTTTTTCGAAGGCCGACCTAGGCTTTTTAGGAGAAGATGGTCCTTTTTCTGCATCCACAACTACAGGAATGTCGGGTACGGCGTCATCTTTCAGTGCTGCCTTCGCACCCGGATATCCCAATTCTAAAAGTCTTTCTGGGTGTCTGCTATACTGATGAAGGGTAAAATGCTTAGAACAAATTCTGCTATGTTTAGACGGTGTAAAGTCCTGTCGTTTACAATAGTGAACCCAAGCTCGATTTCTCTGAGAATCTTTCGGAAAAGTAAACCAATATATATTTTTGTCACATTGAGAATTGCTATTGCAACCATAAACCACACAATACGGCATATTTATACACTAATATTTACGAAATAAAAAATAATTACTTCTTACTTTTGAATAATTCTGCATAAAGATTTGCTTTTACATAAAACTAAAATATGTATGTAATATGAGATATGAATGGAACCCTATACTCATGGCATTTCTGTATTATCTATATAGTATATTACCACTGAGAATATACAGCTGGTAACACAAGTGATGTCATAGCCGTGAGCCTCGTTATCATGTCTAAAAATATGCATACAAGGGCGATCAAGGCCATCTGTGTTTACACTAATGATTATCACATTCCCTGATAAGAAATACACACAACAACATGAAGATATCGATTTTATTAACTATGAAGGTTTTATTTTACACATGATTGTTTGAAGTGGCCGGTGTCCTTTAAGGATAAACTCAGTTCACCATTACAGCTTAATCAAATCTATTAATGTGTATTTATGCTGCTAACAAAGCTAAATTATAACAAACCTTTACATGTATCATAAGAAAAATTGCAATAGCTTATAATAACGATTATCGGTGTTCCACTGTCTAGATCACTCTGTTCCGCTCTTCATAAACTTGCATATCACGGCTTTGTGACGTCAAATACGTTAACCTGGCCAAAATAACTTTGACCCAGACATATCACCGACGTCATTATGAGTGAAGCAACGTTAATAGGTTTGATTCGAACTTATCAAGTCATCTTCCAGTTGGCCGGTGAAATAAAGAAAAATTGTTTCTATCATTGCAAAATACACAAATGCAATCCGATAAATCGATTATTAGATTTCATCATATTTATACTGTAAAATATCAGCTGCTTGTCGCCAGCAGAACTTTGGGCTAACTACCATTATTGAGTGTTCAAGCGTGTATATACAAAATTGGTAAGTGTCACGTAACATACAGTACCAATGGTAACTTTTCCTTTCCGGGAAACCGGGACTACAATATTAAGCTATTGAAAAATATTGAATTGATATCATCTCAAGTTGTCCAGTGATTGTTCTTTAACAGAAGATATTACAACTAAGCAACAGAGCTCATGGCCACATCTTCTTATCTTTATATGATATCCATAAAGTAACTTGAAACATGCAGTCGGACACCACTGCATTGATTTAGCAGACGATATGCGCAAGTACATACATAAGTAAATCATATAAAACATACTTCATCGACTCAATCTAAACATTACAATATAGTTGTGTTCGGCAGGGTACAAATGTATAACCATAAAATATTAGATCTGGAGTATTAAAAATGTAATAAAAGACAATTATCCAGGTAAGGAATTGGTTTTAAATGAGATAAAAGTCGACACCCTTTCCCAATAGAATGTAGACGGCTAAATCGACGGTTAGTGAAGACCTGTATTTATGTGTTGACCCGTTGTTTATAAGGCATACACGTTATTAAAAGTGAATATTTGGTAACTAGAACAAATTCGATATCCAAAATTGGTTACTGCGTTATATTGAAAGGGTTGACTATTGAAAATTACACATATTCCCGGTCGTGAAACCTGTACAACACATGTGAACAAATGAATTAGAACAAAAAATCACTTCGAGTGTTTTACATATTAAAAATTTTATCAATAGTCAGAATAACTATCATGCTCATTTCAAACCTATATGTACAAGCATATCTTCGAAATAGATAGTTAAGCTGATGAAATGCATCGTCTCTTATATTTGGTAAAATCTTGAATCTTGACTGGTGATTTTTACAAAGGTCAACTTGCTGTTAATAATGTATGCATTTTTCTAAAGACTCCCGACACAATCTTATCCTTATTTGTCTCTATTACTATTCCCCAGTACCTTAGCTTAGACTTAGCCCAGTTAATATACAATGTCTGTATTTACGTTGCCATTATCATCTTGAAATTGGATTATCATTTCTAAAACTCGTGAATTAGTATCTTTATTGGTCAATCACATGTATGTACCTATCTACAAAACAAATGTTCGATAACCTTTATTTCAGACAATGAGTGTATAACCAAAGTGCTAATTCCAATGTATTTATGACAATTTAAAGTAACGCTAACTTACTGCAATAAATCACAATATGATTTATTGATTACAGATGCAATTAATTTTCTTTTTATAATTTACTTACTATTTTGTTTTTTTTATTGTAGAAGATACAAACCAAGATAAGAACAATCAAGACCATATTACTGACTTCGTGAAAAAATTGTAATGCTTGTCAATACTGGAAGCCTATATTGAACATAAATGCATAATATCGACCTCGAAGAAGGGCTATTTTCATACATCTTGCAGTCGTTGTATTTGGTTTTTGTTTCGCCTGCGACGAAAGTCGCAGTATGCGGGACATAGGTATTACTGTCCGGCGGCGGCGGCGGCGTAAACTATTTGTATAAAGCTTTCTATTTCAGAAGATAGAAGACCTGGATGCTTCATACCTTGTATGCAGATACCTTATTTTACGAACGAAGTTTCCGTCTGTCATATGTCCATTATCCTTGACCTCGTCTCATGATTCAGCGACTATACTACTTGAAAGAAAAATATAGTTTTTTTTGTCATGTGAATTTCTCACTTATTATGAGTAATGGGATACCTATATTTGCCTACATGTCTGTCGGGTAGGGTTCGCCTGACCTCGACCAGTGATCAAGGTTAAAGTTATGTGATTAGGTCTGTTTCTCAGATACTATAAGCAGTAGGTCAACTATATGTGGTGTATGGAATGATTATAAGGGGTACAAATTTTATTGGTCCAATAACTATATTCATCGAATTACACAATATAAGTGAATTTTTGATCACAACAATTTTGATCGATCTGATGAGTTACGCCCTTTTCAACCGATTTTTGTTTCAGAATGGGAGACATAGTGTTAAACAATCTGCAGGCAGCGACGGCCTAAAGTTTTTTTTTTTTAAAGCTGTATATTTCAAATGTTGCCCATTCGTTTGATGTATTTGAGCTTTTGATTTTGCCATTTGATTAGGGACTTTCCGTTTTGATTTTTCCTCAGAGTTCAGTATTTTTGTGATTTTACTTTTTTCTAAAGGTAGAAGACCTAGATGCTTCATTCCGTGTATGCAGATGCCTTATGTTACAATGTTTCTGTCTGTCATATGTCCATTGATCTTTTATATTTTCAATTTCATTAAGATGCAAGGAGAAATTTATCCCAAGAAGTGTAAATCTGTTGGAATCCCACTACTATCTCAACTTTACACACATAGTTTCTTGGATTAACTTTTTCCTCCCAATCCAAAACAACCTTGGTCTTGTCTAAATTTTTATTAAGGCCTGATAAACCTGCATATTTGTTTAAAATACAGAGAGATGCATTCAAATATTTTGGTGACCCATCAAGTGTAAGAGAAGTATCAGCTGCATATTGTGAACTGAGATACTCTGAGTCATCTATAGTGATTCCTTAATTTTGGTATAATTCTACCAAGTTTCACTGAACACAGTTAAAATATATATGGTGACAGGGGATCCCCTTGTCTACAGCCTCTCTGAATCTCACAAAATTCTGGCAATTTTGAGATACTGCAGATTGAAATAAAAGTAATGATACAATGTATGATAGATGGTCCGAAATTGAAAAAGTCCAATACGCTTTTAATAAAACTCTAAGAAATTGAGTCAAAGGCCTTTTCAAAATCATAAAGAAGGAAAATATTAGTTATGTCATTTTCTTCTGTAGACAATTAAATATCATAAGTTAGTCTAGTATTATTACCATTACATCTTCCATGAATAACCCCTGTTTTATCATTATTGATAAAAATTGACAAGATAGACGTCATTCGCTCTGCAACCAACCAGACCCGAGTTTAAATATATGTTTGTGTTCAAAAGACTTATAGGTCGCAACCTTTTCGTATATTGTCTTGGTTTATCCTCTTTTGGTATACAAGTGATTATTCTTCTATATTTTAGATACTGACATTTCACCCATACTATACCTATAGTTGATTGACCGTAGAACAAATTTCATTACGTTTATCCAAAAATATTTTTGAAAAACTCACTGGTGTATCCATCTGATCCTGGACTTTGTTATTTTTCATTATTATAATTGCTGATGTTAATTCTGAGTATTTCTCATTTCATTTGTTAGCTTTTAAACCTCTAAATATGGAATTTCCTAATTGAGATCAACATTTTCTATTGTATCTTTCTTTCCATATAAATCTTTATCATACAGTAAACTATTATTAAATTTTTATTAACTTTTTCAAATATTGAACAAGAAACAAATCAAGCCAAGCTTTGTGGATTAATTTTTCTCAACGTATATCGTTTCTTATTGTGGTAGAAATGTATAAAAACCCGGCCTCTATTGTAATCACTCAATCTTCGGCAACTTTTAGAATTATACCAGTTCAAGGCGATCGTATTATAACGAAACTTTTGTCCCCTGTGAAATTTTAGAATTGTACCAGCTCATATCGCACATAACTGTTCTTTTGTAATGCATATTTATGCAGTCTCTGTTTTAAATATTTAACCTGCGTCAACTTTGAAATTTTAGAATGATACAAGCGTGGTTCAGTTTTTGATTTGTATTACTTTCAAGATTGTTTTACTAATATCAGAATAAAATGATAAGATTTATTTACAATCATACTGATAAAAGATAATGTTTTCTTTTGTAATATTGGTGTTGTTTTGTACACTTTTTTATGCGTAGGTACTGCATTATATTAATCATAAGACATCCGATGGATAAGATATAATTTGCTGTAGTCACTACACATATATATATATATATATATATATATATATTTGCCTTCGGGTTTATATGATCCGTTCATCCTATTTTGACTCTTTCAAAATTCAAGAGTCTATCCTAAACTGAGGTTAATTATATGGCCTTCCAAATACCGTTTCGATTCCTAACATCACTGAAGAGACATTAATTGTCGAAATCCGGATATGGTGTACAAAGTTTTGCACCCCATGTTTGCGGTATGCCATCTTTTCCGCAAGTTTACTGTTTTCTGTTTGTAATAAATTAATAATAAGAACTATTTTGTTACATCTTGTGATGCGTTTATTTGGCAATCACCAATGGCAGTTAGCAGGGTTTTAGAACATCAGTTGTTCGACCTGCTAGTTACTTTGTTATGTCCCCGCAGCGGAGGGGACATTTAGTGTTACACGTGTTCGTCTTTACGTCTGT